AAAAAAAAAAAAAAAAGGAAAAATGAATAAAATGCTTTTTTTTTCCAAAAAAAGAACAACAGCCAGATGATATTTTTTTTTTGGCTCCTCAGGAGTATGGAGAGAGATGGTCATGTTATCTTACACTTTTTGCTTATAATTTAGAAAATTTGGGGACTAATTATAATGTTATTTCCTTTTGTTCTCACACAGAATTAACATTTATATGTAGTGAAAAATTATTTTACCTTTTAAGGTATATTTTTTGACTGATCTGCCTATATGATCTATTGCTGATTATTACTGAAGTCTGCTTGTAAGTTAAAGACAGGCACGTTCTGTGAAAGCACATAAATGGGACAATATAATTTGCACTTCCTTCTTTGTCAACTTCTTAAATCCTCTCCCACTTTTTAGCCTCGATGATTTTTTACTCCCTCCTGTTTTTGACCAACACCACTAAGCTTTCTCTTGTACTTCTTAATGTCTTTAAGCTCTCAGTTTTAGTAGGTTTCACTCTTTCACAACAGCATGGCTTAAAAATCCCCTCCAGGTTCGTCCTCTTGTTTTTGGACATACATGCAACCTTAAATTGCTTCTAGGTTCTGGACTTAGAGAATTGAGATGAGTGATTTTTCTGACGTGGTGCTGGACGACATGGCTCATTTCAGGAAGTCTGTTGACACAAAAGTCCATGCTTCATTGGTGAAAGAGTCCTGCCCTTCCCAATTTGGTGCTATGTAGATAGCCTTGGACCTCTAGGATGCCTAGCTAGTTTACTATGTATTAATCTTGGTCTTTCTACCATTTGTATTTAGTTGGAGCCAACATGCTAATAACACTAATCATAATCACTATTTTGAATTTTGGCCTTCATCAATTAGTCCAGTTTCATATGCATGCCAGTCAAATGTTCCATATATTGCAGAAGTGATGTCTTTTGAACTAATTAATCTATACTTTTACTTTTTTCGTTCCTGATCTTTGTCGTTGATTTGTGCAGGATTCACAACTGAAGTCAGGTTGTAGGCAAGATTCGCTGGAAGGTTCAGTCTTAAGAATGTTCTTTGCAAATGCAGTCTCTATTTTGGTAGTAGTGGGTGTTATTGATGAAAATGTATTATTATGCCTTTGAACAGCTGAAGCATCTCAGAATGGCAATGCTGCACATGGTTCACAGAATGGTGGACCAAGTACACCTCAGTCAATGATGAATCAAGCGGTGGGCATCATGCCAATGCCAGCAGCTGGTACTCCAGCAGGTGTTCCTGGCCCTACTACTAACTTAAATATTGGTATGGACTACTGGGGTGCTGCAACTTCATCCTCTATTCCTGCAATGCATGGGAAGGTACCTTCTGCTCCAGTAGCAGGAGGGCTAGTCACTGCTGGATCTCGGGACAGTGCGCAGTCACAGCTTTGGATACAGGTTCTATTTTGTTTCTCTTTTGTCCCCTCTCTTCCCTGTACACCGCTTCCCTTTTTCTCAATTAATTATATAATTTTTCTTGTCTTCAGGTGTACTTGCTTTACTATCATGGTTTAGTTTTATAGTGAAATAATTTTGTTTAGACATTCAAATAATTTGTCGTTTGACAAGAAAATCAAAGTTGCAGGTGAGTTGTTGACTTCTTGATAAATGTGTTGGAGTCTTAAAAGGATCAATAGTCTGTGAACAGAGCTAGTCAAGTTATTCACAAAAAGGCTCAAGATGAACCTCCCCTCCCCCCCCAAACCAAAACAAACAAAAAAAAATCAAAGGAAAATTCACAAAAGAATCTGTAGTATATTGTTCAGAACACTGCTATTCATGATTCGTAAAACATTATTCTGTACATGCTCTTCTTGTTTATTGTTTCTTTCATTTTGGTTGGGGGAAGGGGCATAATAGTTCCAGTAGCACCTCTTTCAAAGACTAATTTCTTTGAATGCTTGATCAAACCCTGTGTATCAAGATAAGTTTTGGGCAGGATTTGAACTTGGGACTGCTGGGTTGAATTGAAGTGTGTGAGACTATAAATTGGCTACATACGTATGATCTCATTTTTGGTATATGATAGCGAGATGCTCTTCATGATGGGGATTGTGAATTTTGGATTCAATTATCTTTGCCAATACTTTTTTTGGAAAAGCAAAATGCCAATAAATTAAATATTCTTTGAGGTTTTTAAACGAAACGAATGTTGCCTGAGTTATTAATTGCTCAAGCTCTTGGCTACTCAGCTGGGCCGTTTGGCTGGGTGACCGTGATTTTTGCTTCTTTTTTTTTTGTGTTATTTTTTTTCTCAGTATCCATTACAAATAAATGTGGCTTGATCATTTATATGAAACCTACAAATTAGTTGGTGGCATTGGTTTTTTCTTTTTCTTTTTTAGTTTGGCTTATTTGAAATCTTCAATTTCGTTCTGTTGAAAATGGATTTGAGTCGTTTCTCGTTGTCTCTTGCTGATTCTAAATCTAGTGATTAAGGGTAAAAAATTGATGTGTAGCGTAGCGTGTCATCTGAAGGTTCTTTGTTGTGTACCTCTCATCCGCTGATGAGCACAGCCTATTCTCTCTCTCTCTCTCTCCCTCTCTGTTGAATTTGGGTTTAGCTCATTTGATCCACAATTATCACTATCCTTATTTAGAAATTTGGTTTCAACATGAATGGTATGCCACGATTTCTTAACCTGCAAAGGGGAACTTTTTCAATCCTCATTTATTTCCCTAATGCAGTATTGTATCTGATACCTCTTATTTGGGGGAATGTAGGATGAAAGAGAACTTAAAAGACAGAGAAGAAAGCAGTCTAACAGGGAATCTGCTCGCCGATCCAGGTTGCGCAAGCAGGTAAGGAAATGTCCCTTTCCTAATTCTGTACAGCTCCCTTTTGTTTGGTGACTCATTGATAAATGTGGTAATTCGTGATTGGGTTCAGGCAGAGTGTGATGAGTTGGCTAAGGGTGCTGAGGTTTTAAAGGAAGAAAATGCTACTCTTAGAGCAGAAGTGGCTCGCATCAAGAGCGAGTATGAGCAGCTTCTTGCTCAGAATGCATCTCTTAAGGTAACCAAAATAAGTTGGGTTTTAAACATCCTGTCAATCTTCTAATACTTGCTGCAAAGCAAGTATCTAAAGCATGTTTGGCCTTGCGCATTTTGGTAAAGTCGTGTTGTAGAAGATTGATTTTGCTTAAAACATCAACAAAAAGACATATTGATGGATGTTGCGAGTCATTGACTGATAATTTCTTGTTGATAACTGCAGTGGTATTGAAATACAGCTGGGATAAACACATTTTTTCTTCCAAAGCTTCCACTTTTTAGTTAAAAAGACCTTTTTTCACTTTTTAATTTTTTTGGCCTTTTGGTTTTGGAAGTGATAAGTACTTTTTTTTTTTGGTCCTTTTGCTCTTGAAAGGAAATGAAATACTGTGGAAAAGGTTATGCTAGGAGTCATAAAATTTGATTTTTTCAGGAGAGACTCGGCGAAGTTCCTGGGCAAGAAGATCCAAGGCCTGGTAGGAATGACCAAAATATGGGCACAAGAGCAGAGTCCCTGCAAAGTGGTCAATGAAGTTCTAGCCTCCTTACTGCAGGATGATCTCTCGGGCTTAACCTAACCCATTAGTAACAGGAAGTCCTTGTTTTGAATAGTATGTAGTTTAAATTTATTAAATCTTACCTTTCTGGTGTCGGGATCTGTGTATAAAAAAAAAAAAAA